TCATGGGGATATAGTGTATAGCATAAGGAATATAGTAAATAATTTTGTAATAATTATGTATGGTGTCATATGGGTACTAGATTTATTGGGGTGATAGATGGGAGGGGGATTTGGGTGCAGGGTGAAAATGGTGAAGAGATTAGGAAGTACAATCTGGTAGTTACAAAATAGTCATGGGGATGTAAAGTAAAGCACAGGGAATATAGACAATAATACATAATAACTATGTATAGTGTCAGGTGGGTATGAGACTAGTCAGAGAGATCACTTCTTAAATTACATAAATGTCTAACCACTATGCTGTACACCTGGAATATACAATAATATTGAATGTCAAAATAAATAAAGTGTAAAAAAAAAGAACAACCCAATTAAAAAAAAGTAATTTTTACTTTTAACTGCAGTGTTCAATAAAAATTTTGACTGATTTCCCATCCATAAATCCATTTTGATCTCTTTTATAAGACACAGCACTTTTTCAGAGACACATTATAGGATAAACACATTTTTTAAGAAAGGAGACTTCCCAAAGAAGTTTAATGTTAATAAAAAAAGTGCAAGTGTTTTGTGTACATGCATGAGTATCTCAGATTTTAATTGCTTTTTACTTCAGGAAGGTTGTGATGTATAAACGTTTTACAAATCTGATCTCAAAAAACAATGATTTGAATAATCTGTGCTTTAATGCAAAAACAAAACATTAATTTTTTTTCAGTTTCTCATACAACATGTTTATTAAACATTTTAGTGTCAATAATTTCTTAAGATTATAACATTTAACCTTGTTATGGAGCTAATACCAATTCTATTCATGGGAGTATATTTTGGACTTTAGAACCACTTTAAGTGAAATGAATACCACAGTCTTTTTAGGTTGTGCTTGGATCAAAGACAAAAAAAGCATCAACTCATTCTTTCCAACTTATAAACATCTAATGATGCAATTTTTATGACATTATTTTAATGTTAGTATGATGTTATATTTTTGCTTCTGGTTATTACTGAAACTCGATATGTCATCCCTGAACATTACTAATTTTCACTTAATTTATATTTTAAATATTGAATTTTTAACTTGGGCTCCAGGAAAAATCCTGAAAAATAAAGATCAGCATTTAGCCTCTTTTTCTTGCCCTCAACCATAAATATTCAATTTGATGAATTTGTATCAGGGAGTATAGCTTTTTAAGATGCCTTTTTATAAATAAAAAATAGTTGTCCCTGCATCAAAGAGGGGGTTCAGAAGCACTGAAGTTCTGAAGGAGCATGTGCTTTGAGTATCATTCTCACCTGTTTCCTTTTTTTATTATAAAGTGGCAATTTATACTATCATAAGAAATATACATTTATATATAAATTTTTGCATTCAAATCTCTTTTGGATTACCTATTACTAAATACCACAAATCAAATAAAAACTCTATATAATATATCCTTATTTCAGAAGCATATGTATTATATACACATATATATTTGTAGAACAATTCAATGTTTGAAACATGATTCTGACTTAAAAAAATGCTATTTACAATTTTATGACAGAGAAATAATCTCAGCCTTTTATGATGTTAAAATAAGCAGGGTATTTTCATGTTTGAATGTGTTTCACCTTCTGCAGATGAAATTAAGCAATGTCACGGAAACCCTTCTCAGAGCAAGACCTTGTAGATTAAGCCATGAAAGAGGAATCGATTTGCTATTTCTGGGTCTGTGTTTAAAATAATTCGTTGATGTAGTTATGCTTCTTCTCCACGAAATCAGTGGTCCAAATCAGGACCATCAAGCTTTTCAACACACTATAAGCCATTCTTGATCCTTTACTTTGTCTTAATACTCTCATCTCTTGCTAGTGGAACCACAGGACCACCAATCTATATATAATACTTACCTACAGCATTGTCATTTTCTTAGATAGAAGAATTTTTCTAAAAAGCTATCTGGATTACAATCAGGTCCAAAAAGCCACAATGTGCATCAAATTGATGTCTCTTTATTGGGTTGGTTCATCATGACTAAAAATATGCTATGAAATTCATATAGAAATTCAAAATCCAAACTATTACTGTGATCAGGAATAAATTGACTTGCTGTCCTCCACTTTCCTGAAGCACAGAGGTCTCTGTTAGCAAATGGAACTTCAGCACCATTTGTTTCTATACCGCAAACTCCCAGCTTAAAAATCAAGTCAGGTATATTGACCAGAAAACTATTTGGTGAGATTCTCAAAAGTTTTGTTCCATTCTTAAGTCCAGTGATTTTGAAACATGGTACAATAAGAGCTCTAGAATAAACATGTCTTAACTTATATGTACCAAACCAATTACAAAGATTTGCTAAAAGTCATATTTCCCCTGAGAATATCCCAATAAACAATACAATAAAAATATATGGTGTTTTTTTTTTTACTTCACTTACAGGAGAATAAATGATGGATGAATTGAGACCCAGAAATTGGAATAATGAAAGTCAAAGTAAAGAACTCTTTTAGGTGGAATAAACCTGAAAAATGAACTATTTATTTATTTCTAGCTGAGCCATCCTGCCACCTGTTGGCAGCTCAGCAGCAGCTCAGCTTGGGCCGGGCATTGAACTGCTGTTGCTCAGAGTTCGCACTCTTGAGTGAGCTCTGAACCAACCAAGCCACTCGGCTGGCCCTTGAAAAATGAACTATTTAAACTGGCTCATATTTTTGGAGGAAATTGGATAATTTTATGTTTACATTTGGTACCTTTTAAAAAATCTAGACAGTGAATACTGGCATTTTCTAACTAAAGGTTTTATGTGTTTACAAGGTAAACAGCAGTTAAGCAAATGTTTGCCTTGTACTCTAATTTTTGTCAGGTTCGTGTGTAATAGTGATATGAGGTTTCCAATACATTCTCTGAAATCAATGGTAAATAAGACAAACCTAATTTCCAAAACATTTTACTGTGGTGAATATTTGCTTAAATTATATGGAGAAAAAAATATATACTAATTGGCTAATTAGAACTCTGCTTCTTAATTGCTATCAGAAAGGAGACAAATGTGAGTGTAGATGATAAATGAAGAACAGTCATTGAAAATAGAGGAAAGAATTTTGTTGGAGATTCATATCTCTTATCATATTTTTCATAATATTTAACTGGATTAAACATATTCTGTCATGAAATCATGTGTAATTGATGACACTTTGTGAAACTGTCAATTGTGTTACTAATGAGTTTGTGGTGAGTGTCTACATGCGTGTGTATGTATCACCACAAAAGCTCAAGTCAATTCATGCTAAATGAACTTGTGACCTATTTTGTGGAAGCCTCTTTTCATTTCTTCAAAGAAAATAAGGCTTTGTGCTTGGGATTTGTTTGGTCCTGAAAGTGACAGGTGCATTTATAATCAAGTTGAATCAAGAGTGACAAGAAGAAATACATCGTTTTTTGTTTTGTTTTTGTTTTTTACAAGGGTATCTTTCCCTAGAAGAGCAACATTCTTCTTCTTTTTTTAAATTTAGATGCCTTTATTTGTTACTTTTCAAATACTTTGTTTAAACAGATATTTCTTGCAAATGTGTGTTCAAAATCCTTGCCAAGATACATAACTTTTCTTCTTTGCAATTGATTAGGCAAACTCTTCCATTTCATTTTCTAACCTCCTGATAACATAAATAGAATATTTGGTGAAGTACACAAACCACTATTGGAGAATAATGCTTGTGTAGAGTGAGAGAAACTACAGTGACCTTGATGGAATACAGCAACCAATGGCAAGGTCATTGAAGTGAGGACCTAGACCTCTGCAAAGTGTATTTATTTTAGGGAGTCATAATTGGAACAACACATGCTGGGCTGTAGAGTTATAGGAGAAGTAACATGCTAAGTCTTCTCATTGATAATATCCATAAATCTGCTTAACATTCTGTTTTGTTTTGTGTTGATTTGGATGTCTCTACCCCATTCCTGATTTGTAGGACTAAGTAGATCTATTTTTCCAAGGCAATTATATGATGTTCGTATCTTCCCTAATATTTTTCTAATACTTTAGTACTCCTAACTGTGAATTTCCCTAGTCTTACACTGAGACTTTTTTTTTTTTTTTTGGCTACTTGAAGCTGCTCACACAACCCTGTCTGTTGGAGCCATGGCTGTTAATTCCATATTGTTTCTCTATGTCTCTGCAAAGTTCAATCTATTACAAGTACCCCTCTATGTTCTAGAAGACACAATTTTTGTCACCTAGTCTTAGAAATGAGGATAGATATAAGATAGTAAGATAGGAATTTCACAGCCATGCCTCCCAATATCATGGCAGAGTTTGGAAAATGCTGTATACATACATAAAACTCTGGTAAGTTACAAAGGCAAATGCAGTTTGCTTTGATCAATTTCCTAGGATATATTTTCTTATGTAAAATCCCTCTTCCTTCTTTCCTGATGCAAGAGATGGTACAAAACTCTCTAGGACAGCTAGACAGGCACCTAAACTCTCAAAGGTATCCACAAAGGTAAAAATCAGAGCAAATAGTAAGAGCACGTAATTTGTACATTACTGCCTGGGCATGGTAATAACAAATAATTCTAAAAAATTACTTCAGCCTTAGCAAAATAATTTTTTTCTAAATCACTAAAAACGAGATCCTAAATTAATAACTTTAATAAAAATACGATCTGTTCTGAGGAGAATCTGAAACTCTCTTTATGAAGGAATGAAATCAGCTAATACCATTAGATTCAACATAAACACCTAAACAATCTTAAATTAACAACTTCAACATAAACCTTTAAATTTTTCTTGATGTTAAGCGATTCCTGGCTATATACCTTAGAGGCATTAGAAGAATCTATAATTCATACATATTCAATATCATGGTAAAAATAATTCAGGAAACAGCATGTAATGATGTGTCAATTCCAAATGCCCGAAGAAAATACGAAATCAAAACAAAGCACTCTTCACAGCATTATCCAGACTTTTAAGCATTGAGGGCATTACATAAATTTGTAAGTTCAATTCTCCAAAACCCTGTTCTTTAAGGTAATAACTTTATTTCATCTTTATTACAGTTATGTCTTCATTACAATTAGCCCTCTGTTAATAACAGCAGTCTACTTTAATGTTTGTGGAGTCTGGATTTATTTTTCCCCTTGCGTGTATGTATGCTAATCTTTGTGCATATGCATTTTCTACCACATTGCAACAGGAAAGCTTTAGTTCAATTTTCTTGTCCTAAGCAAAGGAAGATTTTGAGTGCAGAATTTAGCCACTGGGTCCTGCGTTGCCATTTTATTTTTCTCTCCTTGGGTTGATTTATTGGAAAGAAATAGGTAAAGGGTGTAGGGGAAAAGGGAAGGGATGAGAGTGGGACGAAGGGAAGAGTTCTCAGCTATGTTGAATCTTGATTCACGACTTTGCCTCCGTTCATGGTTGGTGTTCCAGAGCTTTTCCTTGAACGCCCTTGTTTTTCTCCAATTTCATGTAGTGACGGCTCTCTGTACATACACACTGGAAAGCAAAATCATAATAATTACTTATAATGGTAGACATCAATCTGGTCTCAATAAACACCTCACATTAGATTTTATAATATTCTTAATTCTCATCACGATCTCCTCTCCAGCTGTAATAACAGGTTTAATGTGATAATGTATTTAGTGAACACACATGATTCTCTTCCAGTTCTATCAGTACAAACTTTTAAATCTTCTTGAGCTGCAGACCTATGAGTGTATGAGACATATGAGACATTTCTGTTCTCTTATAGATAAGGCTGGCATATTTACTGTCTACTAACCTATATAACAGGATTTTCATCTAGACTTAGAGGAGACATTAAGGGTTTAACATTTAAAGGATAGAAATAGATATTTTATATTGAGTCCTTAGTCTGTAATCTAGTTTGGGTGAGGAAAAAAATCCTTATATGCATGCTCCTAATCTTACCCCACTGTAAGAAATATGGCACTGTTGTGTTAGATTGAAATATTTATTGTCAATTTTCAGGGTATCCTACATAGGAAATGATAATGGGAGAGAAGGCAAAAAAAGGAAAAACAAAAAAAGTCCCCACAATTTTCTCAATTACTCCTGATTTCCTTCACCTAAGGTAATAATGAACACAGTCCATGTCTTCTAAGCTATTCCTCAATAGGAAAAGTGATTATGCAACTGTGTGGTTTCAGTGTATATATATAGAGTTTGTTTTCTCCTCAATTGTTTTGTGTGGCTTTGAAGCTCTGTCATCTGTAAAGTATCATGGTTGTTGCTAGATTATTGCATAAAAAGAACAATGTTTTTCAATTCATATTTATCCTCATAAGATAGGCTGTATCAGCATATTGAGTACATTAAAACAGGTTCATCTGTTGTGAGATAAATGTGACTATAGACGAGTACATGAACTATTTCACTTAAATATCTGGAATTATTTTCATCTGTGACTTAGGAACAAACAGTTTTAAGTACCTCTGTCTATTGAACCACCACTACAGTGACTTGGTAACCCGAATGTTATTTCCAATCAAATGGCGTCTTCCCCAGGGCTTAGCCCTGGTACTGCAGATGTGAGTTTGGCTGTGACTGAATAGACATCTGTCATGTGCGGTGGTTAAGAGACCAATTTGGGAGCCACACTGCCTGCATCCACATGATTACTCAGCAAACTTTCCAGCGCTGTCAACTTGGACACAATTTTTCAATTCAAAAATATCATTTTTATGAGGATGAAATGCCTGGCATATAGTAAGCATCCGCAGATGTTTAAGAAAATGAAGGAGCTCATCTCTTCATGAGAATTTTGAATAACACATTTCAGAGAATATAGTGATCAATTGTTTTAGCTGAAGGTATTGTAAATCCAACACTAGATTATGAGAGTTGAGATGCAAGTAAGATTCTCCTCAGACTAGTTCAGTGAGGAGGAGACAGGTTTCTTCCAACACACTCAGTAGTAGAGCTTCTTAAATGTTAATGTGTATTTGAATAGCCGAGGGATATTGTTAAAATGCAGGTTCTGATTCAGCCAGTCTGTAGTGGGCTTGAGATTCTGCATTTTTAATAAGCTCCCTGGTGCTGCTGATGCTGGTGAAACCTAAACCACGCTTTGTGTAGCATAAAGTACATATACAAAATATGTTTGGTAAGTATACCATGTAAAAGTATTATATATAAATTTTTGGGGGGGTGACAGTCATTAACAAGATTATAAAAGTTTCAAGTGCATACAATTCTATAATACACCATCTGTATCTTGCATTGTCTTCTCTCACCATCTCTTTAACCCTCTTTACCTTCCCCCACCCCTTTCCCCTTTGGTAACCACCATACTGTTATCTGTGTCTATGAGGTTTTTTTGTTTTGTTTGTTCATTTGTTGCTTTCTGTTTTATATCCCACATATGAGCAGAATCATGGTTCTTATCTTTTTCCATCTGACTTATTTTGCTTAGCATGACACTCTCAAGGTCCATCCATGGTATCGCAAATGTAAGTATTTCATCTTTCCTTATGGCTGTGTAGTACTCCATTGTGTTTATATACCACATCTTCTTTATTTAATCATCTGTTGAAGGACACTTAGGTTGTTTCCATGTCTTGGCTATTGTGAATAATGCTGCAATGAACATAGGAGTACATATATCTTCATGAATGTTTTTAAATTTTTTGGGTATATACTCAGAATAGAGATTGCTGGGTAATATGATAACTCTATTCTTAAATTTTTGAGGAAACTCCATCCTGTTTTCCATAGTGGTTGTACCAACTTACATTCTCACCAGCAGTGTATGAAGGTTGCTTCTTCAACATTTGTTATTTCTTATCTTATTGATAATAGCCATTCCAACATGTGTGAGGTGATATCTCATTGAGATTTTGATTTACATTTCCCTTACAGGTAGTGAAGTTAAGCATTTTTTCATATATAATATCTGTTGGCCATTTGCATGTCTCCTTGGGAAAAGTGTGTGTGCGCAGGTCTTCAGCCCACTTTTTAATTGGATTGTTGTTTTTTGTTGTTGTTGTTGTAAGGTTTCATGAGCTCTATATTTTTTTGGATATTAGTCTCTTATCAGAGGTTTGTTTGCAAATGTCTTCTCCTATTTGGTTGGTTGTTTTTTGTTTTCTTTATGTTTCTTTTGCTGTGCAGAAGCTTTTTAGTTTGATGTAGTCCCATTCATTTATTTTTGCTTTTACTCCCCTTGCCTTTGGGGTCCAATTCATAAAATCCTCTCTGAACCCAAGGTACCTATGTTTTAGTACCTATGTTTTCTTCTATGTAGTTTATTGTTTCAGGTCTTATATTAAGGTCTTTGATTTATTTTGGGTTAATTTTTATGTGTGGTGTCAAATAATAGTCTAGTTTCATTCTTTTGCATGTGGCTTTTTACTTTTCCCAGCACCATTTATTGAAGATGCTATCTTTTCTCCATTGTATGTTTTTAGTTCCTTTGTTGAAAATTATTTGCCCATATAATGTGGGTTTATTTCTGGGCTCTCAATTCAGTTGCATTGGTCTGTGTGTCTACTTTTCTGCCAATACCATAGTGTTTTGATTATTGTAGCTTTGTAGTATAATTTGAAGTCAGGGGTGTGATATCTCCAGCTTTGTTCTTTTTTCTCAGGATTTCTTTGGCTATCGGGGTCATTTGTGGTTCTATACAAATTTGATGATTTTTCTGTTTTATTTATTTGAAAAAAAAATGCCAGTGGGATTTTGATGGAGATTGCATTAAATCTGTATATTGCTTTAGGCAATATGGCTTTTAACTATGTTGATGCTTCCAGTCCATGAACATGGAATATCTTTCTATTTCTTTGTGTCTTCTTCAATATCTTTCAATGTATTGTAGGTTTTCAGTGTATAGGACCTTCGCACCATTTGTTAAGTTTTATTGCTTTTGTTACAGTTGCAAATGAAATTTTTTTCATTTCTTTTTCTGAAATTTTATCATTAGTATATAGGAATGCATTAGATTTTTGTACATTGATTTTGCATCCTGCAACTTTACTACACTGTTTATTGTTTCTAATAATTATTTTTTTTGTGTGGAGTCTGTAGGGTTTTCTATATAAAGAATCATGTCATTTTCAAAAAATGAGAATTGTAATGCCAGTTTGGATGCCTTTTATTTCTTTCTCCTGTTTGACTGCTCGGGCTAGGACTTCCAGGGCTATGTTGAATCACAGTGGTCAGAGTGGACATCCTGGCCTTGTTCCTGATCTTAGAGAAAAAGTTTTCAGTTTTTCACCATTGAGTATTTTATTAGCTGAGAGTTTGTCATTTATGGCCTTTGTTATGTTATGTTAATTATTTTATTCATAAATGGATGTTACATTTTGTCAAATGCTTTTTGTGCATCTATTAAGGCCAACATTACCCTGATACCCAAATCTCACAGAGGAAACACAAGAAAAAAAAATTATAGACCAGTGTCTCTGATGATATAAATACAAAAATCCTAAACAAAATACTAGTAAATCAAATATATTAAAAAACGTAATACATCATGAGCAAGTGGGGTTCATTCCAGAGGCACAAGGATGGTTCAACATACACAAATCAATCAATGTGACATACCAACATAACAAAATAAAGGATAAAAATAATTTTTTAAATAAAATTTTCAAATATTTCAATTACTACAATGAGTGGTTCCTCCAATATTTCCAAAGGACTAACTGCCTTTGGCCGAAGTAGCAAAGCATACGGAGAAAACTGTTCAGAAAGAGTTGCTCCTGTAATTTCCAGGTGGTGCCAGTAGGTAATTGAGATTTTTGTCTTTTTTTACAAAAGACAGAAGATCCTTATGGAAGATTCTATTGGAATCGTGAAGTTCCTCAAGTCTAATGTTTCTTACCTGTATTTCTGTTATGGACAAGTGTCAAAATCTCCAAAATTAAAGCATACGTTTATATGCTCAAAATACAGCCATTTATTTGTAACTGGTTAATGCACAGTGGAACTTGGAAGAAGTAATGATGTGTACAGTTGGAAAGCTATTCATCTGATGTCATAAAGCAGTTTTTCCCTACTCTGTCACCTAATCAGCTGTGAAAACACATATATCCCCAGGGCTGCTAAATCAGAGTCTCAGTGAACAAAATGTTTTTTTTTTTAATACATGATAGATTTTGACCTGCAAATTTCTTAAACTTCAAGCTGGAGACAAATGAAGAATGTTATTTTCAAATTTCAATTTTTATAATTTTTGTAGCTGCATTTCTCTTAGTTTTCTTATGTCATAGATTCTGCCCAAGGCATATATTTTTAAGTTTTATCTTTTTTTTCTTGCTATGTGTCACTTACACATAAAATATTTTAGTTGTGACAACACAAAATGTTACCATTATAATTATCCCTGCAGATCATATTTCCAATAACTTAACCCTGCTGTCCATCCTGGTATCAAGTCCTCAGAGAGGTTTCCAAATTGACATCTGAAAATTTTCAGTGTCTCAAAAAGAATAAAACTCACTGGTATCTAGCAAAGTGTGCAACTTGTTCTT